AGGCGATAGGGTGCTACCCTGTGGAGAACCGCAAGGTGCAGCATGACTGCTGCTGAGGGCCTCTCCGACCTTCACCCTGAAGGTGCGACCCCTGAGAAAGGACTCGATCCACCTAGCAGTGGAATCATGAACACCAAGAGCTCGGAGCTTGGATACCAGCTTATCGTGGTTAATTCTGTCGAAAGCGTTTTTCTGATCAAAGTACACAACGTGGAAAGGAAGGCCCTGATTGATATACGAGGCCCAATCATTCGACATAAGGAGAAGTTGTGTGCAGGTGGAGCGGTACTTGACAAATCCATGTTGTCGCGGGTCCATGAGCCGATTTCGCTCCAGGAATCCCATGAGATGTCTTGCAACGATTTTTTCGAGAACTTTACATGCTATCGATCCCTGGGCAATCGGGCGATAATTTTCGGTCGATGAGCGTTTTCCTTTCTTGTAAACCGGAGTAACAATACTCTGACGGAAGAGTGATGGAACTTCACTGTCGTTGTAAGATCTTTCGAAGATGAGAGCGAGGGGTTCGGCGACGAATAGAGCAAATTTCTTGAAGAATAAAGGCGGGATGCCTTCGGGGGTAAGGTTTGAGGTTCCTTTCAATTCGCGTAGGGTTTCATAAATTAAGGCTTCGGGAAATTCAAGTCTCGCATCGGGGAAAGGGTTTACCCGTGCCATAGCGGCGGGAAGTGCGGTGCCGCCAACGGTACTGTAGACAGATGCGAAATGACGGCTGAGAGCCTCCGCTTTTTCCGAGTCAGTTGAGAAGATCTTGGTGTCAGAAATCAGAGTCGGCACAGAGTCATGTTGGCGTAGTCTACCGTTCACGTAGCGGAAGAAACGTCGCGGATCACTCGGGTTCAACTTAGCCTCAGTGAGCAAGCGCAATCTTCTGGACGCTTTCATGAGTTCTCGAGCGGACGATGGGTTTTTCATGTTAGCGCGGCGACGGATGCGATCAAGACAGGATGTTACAGAGTTGATGGTCGACGAGGACCTCGTGGAAGGGACGAAATCCTTGATGAGAGATGAACATATTCGAACGAAGCTATTGTACATGTCATTAACGGACTTGCAAGAGTCGAAGACCAGGAGCCAGTTTAGCCGGTCCAAGACAGCGGCAATCGAGTGCTCGTCCATTCGTTGGTAATCCGGGTGAGAAGAAATACTGTGCACGTGTACAGCAGGCATTATAACGCTGAACCTCAGGGAAAGGTGATCGGTGATGACGGGTGCGGTGGTCACCAGGAGATCAGAGACAATGTCAGGATCAGTTGTGAGAAGTAGATCCAATATGGCACCATCCTTGTGCGTAGGTTGAATAACCAGCTGGGCGAGATTGTTCTCGTAGCAACACTTTACGAAGAGATTTTCGCGCGAATGACTCGTGTCGATGGACGGATTCGGCCAGCTTATGTGTGGGAGATTAAAGTCCCCAACAACAATCAAAGAGGAGTCAACATCAGAGGCTGCATCAATGACCGCACAAACCTCAGTGATCTTCTGCCTTCTTAGCGCAGAGTCACCAGTTTGAGATAAGTAGTAACATAAGAATCGGATTCTAGAGTAAGTAGTAACGATGTCGAACACGATGTGCTCGCCAGGCAGATTGAGGTCAACATGAACAGCACTGAAACATTTCTTCAGGAGTGCACATACCCCGCCGCCCCGCGTCGGGCGATCGAGGCGAAATACTTGGTAGTTGCCGCCAAATGACAACTCGGCGTCCCGGATCGTAGCGTCAAACCAGGTCTCCGCAATGAACAGGACGTCGATATCTTCGGAAGAGCAGAACATACGTAGCGCATCGAGAGCACCGGGCTTCGCTGCCGATCGGGAATTGAGGTAGCAACATATTAGGTGCGATCCCGTAGGGTAAGCTTCGTCAGCGGGAACCCCGAGGATAGCGGATCAGCGAAAGGTTGTCGTGGAATCGAGTTGCGAGTCGGGGAAGACTCCTCGAGGGGAAGTTTGGAGACGATTTTATCTGGAATGATGCGACCAAAGTAGGTTTTGATGATCGTACCCGTGGCCCAGAAGGACGGATCAAGGAGAATTTTCTCATCGTCTTCGTCGACGAATATGCAGAAGGAGGAATAGGACTCATGGTTTGTCTTGAGTTTGACAACAGATGCGGGGCACTTAAGTTTCGGGGAGATTGCATCATGCATAGCTTGCGCAGAGAACAACGGGGCAACACGTGAAACGAAGACACGTTTCTTCACCAGCTTCGCCACGGCAGGAATGACATGATCAGACGGTGAGGCAGAACCACGGATGATGGGCACGGTAGGTCTTTGAGACTCGTCAATAATATGGGTCTTCGAATTCGAACGGAGTCTCTTTCGAGACGGACCATGTTGATGCTGCGGAACAGTCAGAGTTTCGCCAAATACGGTGGAGCCGGCAGATAGTAACGACACGCTAGAAGCAGAGCGGTTTCGCGCGCCAACGATCGGCTGCTGAGGAGAGCCGTCGATGACAAGCTTGAAATTTGAGATCTCCCTCTTCGTGGAAAGAAGCTCCTTCTTGCAGCTCGCGAGCTCAGTTCTGATCTCGCCAATAACTTGACTCTGCTTGAGAACGAAATTCGTAAGCTCGGTTATCCGCTTCAGAACCAGGGCTGAGTTGACGGCAGGTCCTTTCACGACACATGATGGGCATTGCCAGTTGAAGTCAGAATCAGGATTCGGCATACACTTTGCATGAACAAGGGTACCACAACCACTGACACATGCCACCAAGGGAATGTGACCCTCAGTATTGCATACGGGGCACGGAGGAAACATAAGGGCGACCGAAAAACGCAAATTTAGCGGAGAAGATCGAATCGACAGCCGAACGAACGCAGCGCTAAACGCTGAGAATGAACTGGCTGGGGAGAAAACTATGTGCGAATACCTCAAAGACCTGGGGTACACTTCCCAGACGAAAGCGTGGGTAGAATACTCGAAGAAACTCGGAGATAAACGCACAAAATACCAAGCAGAGAACTACAACGTTGGACCGGCGTTCACAAATGACGGATGGAAATCCTCGGGAAGAACAGACAGACAGCACATATGCCGCCTAACCTACCACGGATACCATCACCGTATCTGTACAGACCACGATTTCTTCAACGGCAAGAAGAAAACATGCTCTTGTATATATTGTGGTGCTCAAGAAATAGGAAGATTGCACATATTGAGATGTACATACTTTTATGGCAAATCCATTACAAGACGTGTAAAGGAGATTCAAAACAGCTGCGAAAAGAACCGCGAATAAAACCTATTTGAAATAGCTCCGGGGTCCAGCTCCGGTATATTCTGAAGTAGTAGCGTGCTCGAGAGGGTAATGGTTAGAGCTCGAGACTTGGTCTCCGAAGATTCAACCACCGGCCCATCGGGAACCCGCAGTCTGCTACCATAGCACTCTGGCTCACGCTCACCTATCAACATCCTTCTCCGACTCCCTCAAGGGGAAAGAATAAAGAGTCATTTCGAAGAACCCGTGAATGGCAAAGCAAAATGCAAGACGTGCTAAAATAAGTTCCTTTCGTGTAAAAACGGAAGCATCACTGCCAGGGCCGAGCATCTTCTATCCGCTGACCATTTGGCCGCCACTCTTGGCGGGAGGGACCTCTCGGAACTGCGGAGGATGGCACGAGAAAGAAGAGCAGCACTCTGGGGCCCGCCGACTGCTCGTGCACTATCGTCAAACGTATCCCCGAATTGAAGGAGCGGCTCGTCGCCACTTTCAACACCGTCAACCACGTTCCAACCGAAACCCTATCCCACGGCTCCTTCCGCGTGATGTTCTGGCTGAGCGATCTGGGCTCTATCAACTCGAAACTCACACGGAAGACGATAGACGAGGCCTATGAGAACATTCGGCGTAACTTGGAAGGAGATGTCGCGCGCCTCAAGGAAGAGGGCGCAATTTTTATCCTTGTCGCCGATGAGTGGACTTGGAAAGGGAAACGCTCCATCGGTGTAGTCCTCCGCTCGTCCGAGATCATACCGAGCGTGGACTCGAAGTCACTGGAGATTCTCATCCGCTTCCGAGAATCGGCGACAGCTCGGAACATTCTTGAGGCCATCAGGGAAGCGCTCCGCGCCTTCGGACCCCGTGTCCAAGATATGCGCGGCATGTCATCAGACGCAGCTTCGACGAGGTTGAAGCTCGCGAAACTGATCGGAGAAGAATGCCAGCCGAATGCTTCCCATCACCAGCAATGTTTCGCCTGTGGCGGACAGCGCCCGCACGGGTATCATAGTCACTAGCTGGGAACGACGAAGTACAATAAATCACTTCCAGTCTAGCACCGACGTATTCGGTCGTATTCTCTTCAGTGGTTAAACACTACATCGGTGACCCGGAACGCGAGATGAACATGCAAGCCGCAGCAGGAGACGAGATTTTCGAAGATGCTCTGCCAAGCACGTCACAAGGGCTGGTGAACTCCATCACAGTCAAGTTGCCCCCTTCTGGCCGAAGCAGGCAATGATGTGGTTCACGACCATTGAGGCTTAATTCAGCCTCCGGGGGATAAAAGACGATCAGACCAAGTTCGATCACACGCTCACCACGCTCGACGCTGATACGCAGGAGAGAGTAGCCGATTTTTTCGACGACTTACCCGAACGAGGTACCCGCTACGAGGGACTCAAGGAAAGAATCCTCGAGTCGTTCCGAATCAATCACCACGAGCGTATGGCGAATCTGGTTAAGCTCTCAATCGGGGATGCCTCTTTGATCGCATGCTCGGACTGTACAGGCCGGACCGGAACGCTGCACAAAATCCATTGTTCAGGTACCACTTCTTGCAGAAGCTGCCAGTATTTGTTCGCGACCAAGTGGCTCCGAGCGACGATCTTGATCTTCGTGCGCTAGCGAAGAACGCCGACAAGATTATCGCTCAGCGCCGAGTGACGGTCATGAACGAGGCGGAAGAGGCGGCAGAGGTCGACGCCGTCCTGAGACCCCCGAGGGGCGGAGCGAGGCGAGGCAGATTTCTGAAGCCGAAGGAGTCGGGTGTGAGTCGGTTCCACGCCGAATTCGGCGAGAGCTCGAGAAATTGCCTTATTCCCTGCTCTTAAAACGGTAAGGTAGCTGCTCCAGCCACGGGAAACGCCCGTGCCGGCCGCCACTAATCGCTTACGCGGCCGGTCAGCAAGCAAAAGGCGATTTGTTTTTAATGGTTTAATGGTTTATTTGGATCAGATGGTATCATAGTATGTACACATCAACCTTTCGATTCAGGCGCGAGTTGGCTCAGCGGATCCAGAGGTTTCACGCTCCCATTTTTCGAGGAGGGGCTTCGTTGACTCCACGGCATGGCGATTAAGCTCTGTGGTCAAACCCAGTTTGATTGCGAGTTCGTCTGTCGTGAAGTAACATTCATTGCAATTGAAGATTACGTGCTCGAGTGTTTCCGGATACACGCCGCACTTATTGCATGTCGTTTCTGGGTCGGTGGAGAGAGCGATCTGTGTACCCTGGTAGGTAGGGAGCCCGCTCTGGCAAGCGCCAGGAGGGCAGATCCTCTGCTGTTGTCGTAGATATGAACCGGTGATGTTCTCGAGTCTTTATAATGGCGATATACTCTGAGCATTGTTCTACCGGATATCCCAGCCACCCAGGCGAGGTCTTGCGTGGTCCTTATCCTTTCGCTGATCTGGCGATAATAGGGACCTAGGAGGGCTCGGTTTCGCTCATCATGTTCGATCTGAAGTGTGTCACATCCGAACTTGCGCTTGAGTTCCTCCATTCTCGCGTAGGACCTTGTTGGCTGCCCTCCAGGAGAATCATCTCCAACATCGCTTTGGGCCAGCGTGCTGCTGGCATGGATGCGATACGGGCGAAGTATTTGAGCTTGCTCTTGGCTTCTCTCGCTTCAAACGAGGATCAGTTGAGTTCGGCT